ATTTTCTTACTTTCTCAATATGTGTTCCACAGGAGGGGTGTTCACTGCCCTGCTCACAAACCAGGCCTGTTCACCCCTGTGTCCTGGGCCTTGTGGTGCTGACAGTCCCTGGGAAATCTCCTGAGCTCTTGTGTGAGGAGATGCATGTTGAGTGGCCAGGAGCATCCTGTGTGGTGCCAGGGTGGGTGCCAGGGAGACAGCACAGTGACAGAAACTCCACAGCTGAATGACTCCAGGGGTTATGCCAGGGCCACAGGGGGTTCTGAGAACAGCTGGAGCTTAGAGCTGCTGGATGTGTGAAGCAGATTAAAGATTGAAACTCTTGAGATCAATTATGAGTCTGCTGGTGACTTGCTATGGAATGAGTCCTGTCACAGCATTGGGTCAGACTGACCTGTAGGTTACAGGCTACTGACTCATCATTGTCTTCCATTTACTGAGTTGAATTGATTGTTTAATTAGAGCACTGTCTTCATTTGAATATACCAAAAGGAATCCACCATGTTGGTCATACTCACTTTTATGACTGACTACTCCTACTGTGCCAAACTGAACTTGTTTAATAACTTATTTGGTATTCAGCTGGTTGTCCTCAGGCTATCCACTGTTTGGCTCACCTGTCAACTTGGTAGCCATTCCTCTGTTCTGTTTTTTTTTTTTTTTTTTTTTTTTTTTTTTTTTTTGGTTGGTTTTTGTTTGTTTGTTTGTTGTTTTTTGTGGTTTTTTTGGGGGGGGGTGTGTTTCCCTTCTTTTTAATTATTAACATTTTTTTCCTCCACGGAATAGAAACAATGCCAATAAAACAGAAGTGCTAGCAGCTGTCTGCGATCGGAGGTGTTGCCTCTACCAGAGCCAGGTCCTGGCAGGTAATAACCAGCACTCTCGTTGCTCACCAGGCGGTGAAGAACGGCCTCAAAACCACCTGCAAGTGCCACGGCGTGTCGGGCTCCTGCGCCGTGCGGACGTGCTGGAAGCAGCTCTCGCCTTTCCACGAGATCGGGCGGCTCCTGAAGCTGCGCTACGACGACGCCGTCAAAGTCTTCAGCACCAGCAACGACGCCGTGGGGCACTCGGAGCTGTCGGGGCCGCACAGACACGGCCCCTCGGCCAAACACCCGGCCCTGCCCCGCCCCACCGACCTGGTGTACGTGGAGGACTCGCCCAGCTTCTGCCGGCCCAGCAAATACTCCCTGGGCACGGCGGGCAGGACCTGCTCCCGAGAGGGCAACTGCGACAGCATGTGCTGCGGCCGGGGCTACAACACCCAGAGCCGCCTGGTCACCTTCTCGTGCCACTGCCAGGTGCGCTGGTGCTGCTACGTGGAGTGCCAGCAGTGCATGCAGGAGGAGGTGGTGTACAGCTGCAAGCAGTAGGGACGGCGCCGAGCGGCGAGGGCAGTCCAGGGAGGCAGCAGGGCCAGGGGACAGGGACGGGGACACGGCTCTCTGCCCGCTGCGGGGTGACGGCAAAGGCCAGCGCCCAGCGCGCCGTGCTGCTCCCACCTCGGCGTTGAGATGCTCCGGCCCGGGGAGAGCCCCGGCGTGAGCGGGGACAGCCAGAGAAAGCTTTGTCGGGTTTGGGGTCGGGAAGGAGGGACAGAGAGCGGGGGGGATGTGGGGACAGCAGAAACTCCAGTGCTGCCACAAATGTCGCTCAAGTTCAAACGTGTACTCACTGACCTCTGTGGGAATATCCTCCTCCTCCACCCTCAGGTGCGCTCCTGGAAATGCCCTGGGGTGGTGACATTGGGACACTGAGGCTCGTGGCCTGGCTCCTGCACAGAAGAGAATTCGGGGACCAACCAGAGGCTGGCTCCAGGAGTGGCAGGGAGCTCCTGCCAAGGCAAAAGGACCGTGGCAGTGGGGGAATTGCCGGTGCCCTTCCCTGGGAGCTGCTGGAGCCTTTCTGCTCTGAACTCACCGACACACTGCTGAATAATCTCATTTTGGCACAAGAACTGTGCCTCAGAAATATCAGTTTACAAACAAAGGGAGCTCACGTCCATCACCTCCCAGGTCTGTAGTTTGGATATTGGACTCCAGGTGCATTTTAACCATGTTTAGAGTTTGCTGTTCCAGGTCACCTGGGATTGCCTCTGTGACAATCCCAGATTGAGCCACAGGGACTCAGCTGAGGGTGTGAAGTCACCCCTGTGCAGCCTGTGGCCTCACAGGGAGTATTTATTGTTGGTGATCCAGGGTGATGGATCCAGGGTGATCCAGGGTGCAGGAGATATGCATCTCTCTTCCTCCTCCTTCCTAGTCAATCAATCAATCAATCAATCAATCAATCCATCAATCCATCAATCAATCAATCAATCAATCAATCAATCACCTTTCTGTCCTATGTGAAGCACGCTCTGCCTGGTGCCCGAGGTGTGTCACATCCCACAATGTCACTTGCCACAATGTCATTGGCATTGCCCCGTGCCAATGACAGGTAAAGCTTCTGAAAGGGAATTAGGAACTGGGGCATCTGGAAAATGTGCAAGCCATGAGTGACAATCCCTGCCATGAGGAGTTGGGTATATTCAGAGGTGTGAGGGCAGGTGACCCAGGGAAAAGAGCACAGGCTGTTAGAGAGTCATGAGCCCCTGACTTTGAGCCTTGTTTTCCCCTTTGTCTTTTAGCTGAACACAGCAGACACAGCCTGTTCAGTTCCTCTGGCTGTGATTTAGGGAGCAGTTTTGGGAATGGCAGCGAGGCACCCCTTGACCTATAAACCAGGTAAATTTAGGTGTAGCACAGCCTCTCTGGGTTTTCAGCTCTCTGGCAATGTGTTTCCCTGCTCCAGGCTTTTCCTGGTTAATCCTGCAGCAGCTCTGGATTGTCTGAGGTAACAAATCTGCTGCATTTACTCAGTCTTGGCAATGGGTACACACCAGCCAGAGTGGAGATGGGCTGGTGCTGCAAACAATATGGGAATCCTTAAGCTCCAATCAAAATTCACTGGCAGTGTAAGGGGCGAAGATGCTGGTTTGGGTTGCTGGATGGGCTCATCCACAGGCAGAATTGGGCTGAATTCCAAGAGGATGGAGCTCTGCTCAGAGGTGTGGGGTCTGCAGTGGGATCTGCAGTGAGCAGCGTGTGCTCACACTCTCTTTACTGTGACTTTGTTGCCATTTTGGTTTTACAACTATTTTTGACTTCTACTCCCTCCAGGGCTGGCACAGAGCAGACTCAGAGCAGATCAAGCCATTAACTGGCTGTTCAGAGGCCACTCAGACCTTCCCTCTCACCAGCTATATGTCTTTTAAAGGCTTATTCCTTTTTATCCCTTTTCTGGCTCAAGTTGACTTGAACTGAATTAAAGAGTTTATGATAATACTGCAAATAGGCTTAATTAGTCTTTTTTTTTTTTTTTTACCTCCTAAATACCCAAGAGCAGACCATTATTTATATATTGCTTTTAATCCTTTTGGAGTTGAAATCTTCCCACGAGTCTTAATTTTGAGCACTCAATGAAAAAGCTTCCAAATAAGCTAAAATTGGCATCATGGGTGAAGTGAGCAGAGAACTCGCTCTGGCTGAACTATTGATCCCAAACCCTCTGCTCCACTGACCTCCAGCCTTGTCCAGCACCAGAGAGGAAGGGAATACCCCATCTTGGGAGGGTCCTTTGGGATCCCATGCCACTACATGGACCACTCCCATTTAAACAGGGTCTGTGGCTCTGTGGAAAGAAGGGGCGGGGGGGGTGGGCACAGCTGGATCCCATTCCTTGGGAAGCAAGTAGAGGAGACACCACTCTGTCCTCTTATCAAAGTTGCACAGGAATTGCTGAATAAGACCTGGACAAAACCAAATTTCAGGGAAAATTAAATTTCTTCATGTACCAAAGGAGACTTTTGGAAATTCTTTGTCCTGTGTGGCTCAGAGCTGCTGGAGAAGACCTGAGGAAGAGATGGTTCATTCTCTGGTACCCCGGGGTTTGGGCTTGGTGGGATGTGGAGGTTTGGCATTGAGCTGGAGTGAATTTGGATTGTTCACTGTTAAGCCAGGTATGGACAAGGACATCTGATGTCCCCCAGTTTCACTCTGGTTAACTCAGAGCCCTTTTCAACCCCTCCTGACAGTGCTGCAAATCTTCCTGTCCAACCCCTGCCAGGCAGCACAGCCTCAAGGGCAGAAAACCAAATGATGAACACTTATGGGAAAGAAATTATTTCAAATGCTGGATTTGAGGATTGGGAAAAAGACCTGAGCATAGTTTTAGTTTGAGGCAACACTGATGTCAATCCTTTTGATGTCCTTCAGCACCAAGTTTTTTAGGGATGATGCCATGAAGAAGGAAGGGGCAATGTTTGATATCGTGGTGGCTTTGGGGTTTTTATTTCATTCAGTTGTCCAGGATTGCTTTGTTGGGTTGATATTCTGAAATGTGATTTAATTCAACTGACAGCAGTGGGAGCAGGGAGCAAAACCTGAGTCTGTTTGGCCCTCGATATTCTTAGGCTTGAATTGTATTTTCCTCTGAACCAAGACCAAACATCATCTAGAGCAAAGCTCTTCTGCCACCTCCTGGAGACCTTGGCTGTGAAGATCTGGAAGTCTGTCTCTCCAGGAAGAATTGGAAGAGCTTTTTAATTGTGCCATACACCTTACAATGTACTGCAAATCCTGTGGATTTGGTTATATGTGTAAATTACTGGAATGACAGGCTGGAGATAGAAGGGGAACGCATTTAAGTCTTGTCAAAGAAATCTTCTCAGCAGCAAAGTTGAAACTTCATACTCTGCCTATAAAAAAACCCTTTTCCAAGTGCAAATGTACATTAGTGGCTACTGATGGTAGAAGTCTGAGCTGCACAGGCTTTGCTGGAAGTGTTTTGGTTGGGACTGAATCTTTTACTCTGAACCTAAAATCCAAATAACCTGGGAACAGCCATAGCTCCAATAGCCCTAACCAGGGTCCTCAGTGCCCACACAGGGGCTACGCTGCTCACACAGGTTAGTCCCTGTCCCTGTCCCTGTCCTTGTCCCAGTCCCTGTCCCTGTCCCAGTCCCTGTCCCTGTCCCTGTCCCTGTCCCTGTCCTTGTCCCAGTCCCTGTCCCTGTCCCTGTCCCTGTCCCTGTCCCTGTCCCTGTCCCTGTCCTGTCCCTGTTCCTAGTCCAGCTTTCATTACCTCTTCTGGTGTGTTGTGGTGCTGGGCTTGTTAGTCATGGATCCAGCTGTTGTTGCAGGGGGG